ATCCTTATCATGTAATCTGAGCTCTCTCCACCTGCCGTTGAGTGAACAAGAGCGTCTTTCCTTCGATGGGGGGCAAATTCTTTCAACTTTGCGGCACTCCAGGGTTGCTTGGTGCTTTGAGATAACGATTTCCTTCGCGTGCAGAGGAAAAGGATGACGCACCTCCATTCATGAATATAATGGAAGCGAGTTCAGTCTGTTTTCGGGTTGGGAGGCGAAAGAGACGCAGTCCTCAAATCCCCCTCCCGGCCCTGTTCCTCTCAAGTGCTCTGGAAATCTGCTGAGATGAGGCAACATTCGTTGATTTATTTGTGCTTTCTTTATCCACACCCTGCAATCTTCTAAAGTGGGGGCGCACAGAGTTGCTTTAATCACCGCAGGTCTTCATTCCACCCAGTATATGTTTACACAGGATAAATGCTGGCTTGAAGCATGGCAGGAAAGACCTCGGAACATGAGCAGAGCCAGTCTGAAGGATCAGGCCAAAGACCGTCCCAGTCCATCATCCCGTTCTCACGACATCCAGGCCAGGAGAGCAGGGCAGCTCCTGATACACCAACCCGACTCCTCCTAGAGGTCCTGGTTTGCTGCTGCAGGCAGCTCTCTGGAGGGATAATCATAAGGATATAAGAAGTGTCTGGGAGCTGGTCTCAGGAACTACAGTGGTACCTCAGGTTACATATGCTTCAGGTTACATACGCTTCAGGTTACAGACTCCGCTAACCCAGAAATAGTACTTCAGGTTAAGAACTTTGCTTCAGGATGAGAACAGAAATCATGCTCCAGCGGCACGGCAGCAGCAGGAGGCCCCATTAGCTAAAGTGGTGCTTCAGGTTAAGTACAGTTTCAGGTTAAGAACGGACCTCTGGAACGAATTAAGTACTTAACCCGAGGTACCACTGTATATGTAAGAACAGAAGTACTTGAGAAGACCAGTGGCCCATCTAGTCCAGCGTCCTGCTCTCACAGTGGCCAACCAGATGCCTGTAGGAGACCCACAAAGAAGTCCTGAGCACAAGAGCCCTCTCCTCTCCTGTGGTTTCCAGCAGCTGGTATTTCTGCCTCCAACCATGGAGGCAGAGCGTAGTCATCATGGCTAGTAGCCATGGATGGTCTTCTCCTCCATGAATTGGTCCAGCCCTCTTTTACAGCCATTTAGCAGCCCTCCAGGGGTCCCAATGAGAAGCCCACAAGCAGGACCTGAGTCCTGCATCACTCTCTCCTCCTGCCATTTTCAGCAACTGGCATTCAGAAGCATTACTGCTTCTGACTGTGGACTGTGGAGGCAAGAGTACAGCCATTCTGGCTAGTAGCCACGGCCAGCCCTTTCTTCCATCCATTTTTCCTGACTCTCTTTTAAAGCTATCCATGTCTGTGGACATCACTGCCTCCTGTGGCAGTGAGTTCTGTAGAGCAACCATGTGCTGTGTGGAGAAGGACTTTAAATAATCAATCTATTCTGACTCTTCCAACGTTGAATGTCTATGAGTTCTGACTAAAGAACTGTGGCAAGAAAAATTGATGGACTATGCGGAATTGGCAAAACTGACACACAAACTACGTGACAAGGATAACTGTGACTTTAAAGAAGAATGGGAACCTTTTACGAAGTACTTGAAGAAACAACAAAATGAACTGGACTCCTTTGCAGGTTTTGAATAAACATTCACAAATTCTTTATTGGTAATATACAGATAGATAAACTGAGGATCTTTACAATTTTATAACATGCAGACAAAATTATGTACTGAAAATCCAGAGAGAGGAGCTGAGGGAAGTCTGGGGTGGGGGTGGGGGTGGGGGTGGGAGGGAGGGTTTTTTCTTTTCTTTTTCGGGGGGGGGGGAATGGGGGGGAAATAATGTGGATGATGTATTTTTATTAAAATTGTTATGCTGGAATCCCTAATAAAAACATTTATAAAAAAAGAATGTCTATGAGTTCTAGGGTTATGGGAGAAGGAGGAAAAACTTGTTCCTATCCCCTGTTTCCAGGCAACTCCTTAGCATCGAATCATAGAGTTCAAAGGTACCCTAAGGGTCATCTAGTCCAACCTAGTGCATCTAGTGCATCCCAGGGACATGGTCTGAGGTGGCATGCCTTGGGATACTAGATGCTGGGAATTGCAAGTGCTTCTGTTGCAGACAGACAACTGGATAGCTCAGCTGGTTAGAGCATGTTGCTGATAATGCCAAGGTTGCAGGTTTGATCCCCATATGGACAGCTGCATATTCCTGCATTGCAGGGGGTTGGAGTAGATGATCCTCGGGACCCCTTCCAACTCTACAATTCTTTGATTCTGTGGCTTCCCACAGGGGCATCTGGTTGACCACTGTGAGAACAGAGTGCTGGACTAGATTGGTCTCCTTTGGCCTGAGCTAGCTGAAGAGCTTTTCATCTCTCCTCTTTCACATTGTGCCTGTAGGCAAAGGGAAGGCAGGGGGTGGTGGTTGGGAGAAGAGGAACTGACCTTTCCTAGGAAGGGAGCGCTCGGTCTCGCAGATTATCTCAAAGATGTGGGGAGAGAGAGAGAATGAGAGCATTCCAGGGATGTTTCAGACAACGTGTTTCTATATCAGTACACTGGATTGTAAACCACCCTAACAATTGCCGCAGGCGATCTGGCGCTCACGACTGAAATTTTAATTGCTGCAGCTCAGCAAAGTTGCAATATTCTAAACAAAGGAGGTTCTTTTTTTCCTGCAGGGTAAAACCATCAACAGAAAAGAATGTTAGTTGGGGCCTGTTCTCTCCTGCTAAATATTTGTTCTGAAACATTGAAGGAGTAAAGAGTCATGTGCTTCAGGCTTGAGTGGGTGCAAAGTCCACCCCATGGAGAAAATGCTCATTTGCATGGTACACCAGACTAGCTTTGCTTGGCACTACTAAAACTCAGGGCCGTCCAATGAAGCTGAATGTTGGGTGATTTGGGCAAGAATGTTGAATGTAGGACAAGAAGAGATTCTGTTGGAGGCCGCAAATGCCTCTGAATACCAGTTGGTGGGGCTGTCAAGTTGGGAGAGTGCTGTTGCACCCAGCTTCTGCTTGCAGGTTCTCCACTGGTGCCTCTGGTAGGCGTGGGATGTAATCCTTGGAGCAGTCAAATACAACATTCCTTGTTTCCAGTGCTGGATTTATGTATAGGCTAAGCAGGCTGAAGCCTAGGACCTCTAAATTGGTTGGTCCCTTACCTTTCCTGCCCCGACCTGGCCACAGTGATCCATGCGACGGTCACCTCCAGGCTTGACTACTGTAATTCGCTCAATGTGGGGCTGCCCTTGAAGCTGTCCCAGAAACTCCCGGAAGCTGTACGCCGGCTCCCTTGGCCCGTAAAGCGAGATGAGCAGCCCAATCCCAGAGTCGTCCGCGACTGGACCTAATGGTCAGGGACATCACTGCCTCCTGTGGGACATCACTGCCTCCTGTGGGAGGGAGTTCCACAGTTCAAACTATGTGCTGCATGAACAACTCCTTTCTTTTCTCTGTCCCAAATCTTCCAAGAGCCAGCATCGTTGGATGTCCTCTTATTTTGCTCCAAATCCTAGCTGGGAAACAAAAAGTCTGCTTTCTTTTCAATTCAGTCTCTCCAGCATTCATAGGCTCGTTTACCAGGATGTGATTCTTATTAGACAAAATTAAATGTAACCACATGTTTGCCAGTTTCTTCATTGGAAATAATCTGCTGATGATTCACGACTCTTCGTGTTGGAGATCCAGCCAGATGCTGAAATGTGGGCCTTTTTAATCTGCTGATTTCATTTTAATTTGCATACCAAAACATTAGCAGGTTTTTAGAAAGATATTAACCTTTCTGTTCTACAATGTGTGCATATATCACGTGGTGGCTGGCACAAAGTTGGGATGTGCTGAAATGAGAAGAGGACGGGGGGCTCATAAGCATGTTGGATTCACACACACCATGATTGAATTTCCTTTTCTCCCATGTACTAGTTAGTTGTGAGGACACTTCAGGTCTGAGGGTTACATACTCGCCGTCCTGCTTGAAATGGGAGCTTTGCTCAATTATCCTGACAGATAAAGGGCACTGTCCCCTATTATGGGGACTGTTGGAGGCAGTATGCCTTTGAATGAAAGTTCCCAGGAGTCACAAATGGGGAGAATGGTGCCATTGTATTCTGGTCCTGCTTGCAACTTCTCGATCCCTTCTGAACCAGCCAAGATTTCAGGTGGAATACGAGCAGGCTTGGGCCAAACAGCGTGTGATTTTTAATAGTGCAATAAGCAACCACACCTGAGTTTTTGAGAAGTTAAATGCTGTGTGTGTGTGTCCTGTAAAGACCACCAACATGTTCTGCATTGTTGTTGGATCATATAGGACAAGGCAGCTCAGGAGTTTCAGAACCATGGATAGCTCCACATTTCAGCACAATGGATAGCACTGGGTTTCAGCACTATGGATAGCTCACATTGAGGGACTTGCTCCAAGGAAGGTAGAGAGCAGATTCTGCCTTTTACACCTCTGCCCCTCAGACTCCTCCTCCTAGGTTCTGCCCTCTGGTGGTTACCTTTAGAGTCACCCTGGCTGGAAGATGGGCATTCCTGAAGGAGCGTCTCCACCCCCATAGTTTTGCCCAGACACTGAGGTCCAACCCAGAGGGCCTTCTGGTGGTTCCCTCACTGCTGCAAGATGTGAGGTTACAGGGAACCAGATAGAGGGCCTTCTTGGTGGTGGCACCCACCCGGTGGAATGCCCTCCCATCAGATGTCAAGGAAATAAACAACTATCTGACTTTTAGAAGACATCTGAAGGTAGCCCTGTTTAGGGAAGTTTTTAATGTTTGATGTTTTATTTTGTTTTTAATCTGTTGGGAGCCGCCCAGAGTGGCTGGGGAAACCCCGCCGGATGGGCAGGGTATGTATGTATGTATGTATGTATGTATGTATAAATAAATAAATAAATAAAAATTTAGTATTATTATTATTATCATTCCTCTACTCCTTAGCCTACCCCCTGTTCCCTGCATAGGTGAACTGGTTCTGTGGGTGGCATTTGGTTCTTCAGGGGAAGGTGTTCGTGGGCATCCATTCTCTAATCCTGCAGACACTGAAAGTTCATCTGCAGGCTCATGTTCCTCTGCCTCAGTGGGCTCCTGAGTTCCCTTAGCAGACTCAAACCCCTACACCTGGTCAGGCTCCTTAGTTGGATTTCTGATGGTCCCTGAGGTCATGACGATCACTGCATGTGGGGAGGGAAAGGAGCACCAGAAGAAAATGAGGGACAGCTAACTGCATTTGCTGCTGCTTGCGCCAGCCTTCATGCCCTCCCCTCTCACCAGCATCCCTGTGAAGACTGCCTGCTCTGGGAGGCCAGTGTTGTGCAATATGGGCTCCCCATTATTAAACGGTTGTTGTTTGTTGTTCTCCTGCCCTTCACCCTAAAGTTCCAGGGCAGGTTACAACAATAAAGCACAATACAATGGTGCCTTGGTTCCCAAATGCCTTGGTTCCCCAATGCCGAAAACCCGGAAGTAAGTGTTCTGGTTTTTGAACATTTTTTGGAAGCTTGACGTCCAATGTGGTTGTTGGCTATAGTTTCCGGGGTGCCTGCACCAATCAGAAGCCGCACCTTGGTTTTAGAAAATTTTGGAAGTCAAATGATTTTCCGGAATGTATTAAGTTTGGTGCTTTTGTATTTGCTATTTGTTTTGCGTTTTTTGTTTTTGAGGCTTTTTCGGTTAATTTGTTTTTGTGACACTGTGGAACCCAGTTCAGCTACTGCTTGATTGTGCGACTGAGGAAATGGATAGAAGTCTCCCATCCAAATAATGACTATCATCAGTGCAGGTAAGATTTTTTTAAAAAAAAATATATAAAAAATCTACAATACTGTCTTCTTTATTTTATAGTCCGCGGGTGGTGTACGCCGGATCCCTCGGCCAATAAAGCGAGATGAGCGCCGCAACCCCAGAGTCGGTCACGACTGGACCTAATGATCAGGGGTCCCTTTACCTTTACATTGATTATTTCTTTCATTTTGTGGATGAGTGGTCTCATTGGATAGTAAAATTCATGTTACATTGCTGTTTGAAGGGTTTTTTTTTAAGTCTGGAACGGATTAATCTGTTTTGCATTGCTTTCTATGGGAAAACGCACCTTGGTTTTGGAACGCTTTGGTTTTGGAACGGACTTCTGGAACGGATTACGTTTGAGAACCAAGGTACCACTGTACTGAAAACTGTTCAAAACAACTCAAAATCACAGAAATAAGGTAGGCCCCAAAAATGCACACCCCCAGCATCAAAAGCCAGGGTAAAGAGGTCTTGAGCATTTGTTAAAGCCATATAATGAAGGTGCTGGAAGCACTTCTGTGGGGAGGAAGTGCCACAGCTTTGGGGTAATCACAGAGAACAGCCTCTCTCAGGTCACCTAAGTTTCTGAGGGCACCAGAATTACCAAGAGGATCCTCTTTGCCGATCACAACACTTGATGGGGTCTCTAGGAAAGGAGGTGGCCTTTCAGGTACAGTCATACCTTGGTTTTCAAACAGCTTAGTTCTCAAACATTTTGGCTCCTGAACGCCGCAAACCCGGAAATGACTGTTCCGGTCTGTGAACTATTTTTGGAAGCTGAACATCTGACAGGGCTTCCACAGCTTCTGATTGGCTGCAGGAGCTTCCTGCAGCCAATCAGAAGCTGCACTTTGGTTTCCGGAAGTTCTGGAAGACAAACAGGCTTCTGGAATGGTTGCCGTTTGACTTCCAAGGTATGACTGTATTTGGGGCCTGAGATGTTTAGGGCTTTAAGCACTGATGTGACCATCTCAACTTGGGCCTGGAAACAAGCAAACAAACAGAGTAGCTGTTTTAAAACAGGGTTTAAGTAAAGGTAAAGGGACCCCTGACCATTAGGTCCAGTTGTGGCCGACTCTGGGGTTGCGGCGCTCATCTCACTGTATTGGCCGAGGGAGCCGGCATACAGCTTCCGGGTCATGTGGCCAGCATGACTAAGCCGCTTCTGGCGAACCAGAGCAGCGCACAGAAACGCCGTTTATCTTCCCGCCGGAGTGGTACCTATTTATCTACTTGCACTTCGATGTGCTTTCGAACTGCTAGGTTGGCAGGAGCTGGGACTGAACAACAGGAGCTCATCCAGTCACAGGGATTCAAACCGCCGACCTTCTGATCGGCAAGCCCTAGGCTCTGTGGTTTAACCCACAGCGCCACCTGCGTCCCAAAACAGGGTTTATATGAGATCTAAACAGAACCCCAGCCAGTCCCCAGGCTGCTGCATTTTGTACCAACTGAAGTTTCTGAGTCATCTTCAAGGGCAGCTCCATGTAGAGTGTACTACAACAATCCAATTTGGAATTGTAGCAATCTTACCTCTCTCTTTTGCACTGTGGAGTTGCCAGTGCTCCTTTTGAGCCCTTTCTGTTCTGTTTTGTTCCTTCTGATTCCTTAAGAATATGTTTTGGCAACCTTCCTGGTTTCTAAGGCGTGCAAATCCACAGCTCCTGTGCTGAGAAGGCCTCTCTCTCCAATCCCACAGCCACTTCCTAACGGTCTGGCTGGGTCCTGTGCTTTCATGTAATACAGATTTGAGCTTGACTCCAAGGGCTTGGGGGTGGGGTGGGTCAGGAATCGGGGAAGAGGAAATGGCTGAACAAGGTTGGAATTGATTGATGCCTCAGAAAGGCTCCTGCGGGAGAAGGATAAAAAGGGCGGGGGGATAGGGAAATTTGTCTGCTAGAGAATGGAAAGAAGGGCTAAGAGAGCCAATGTGGTGTAGTGGTTAAGAGCGGTAGTCTCGTAATCTGGTGAACCGGGTTCGCATCTCTGCTCCTCCACATGCAGCTGCTGGGTGACCTTGGGCTAGTCACACTTCTCTGAAGTCTCTCAGCCCCACTCACCTCACAGAGTTTTTGTTGTGGGGGAGGAAGCGAAAGGAGATTGCTAGCCGCTTTGAGACTCCTTCAGGTAGTGATAACGCGGGATATCAAATCCAAACTCTAAAACAAGCTCCAGGTTTCACTGATTTTTAGCCATGTTTTATTGATAACTGTTTTATGCACATTAATGTAGTTTTTTTTGCTGTTTTTATTATATATACCACTTAGGCAGTGGTTCTCGAACCTTTTCAGGTCACTACCAACTTGGCTCCATGAACTCATCCCCAGTGGCCCCTACCTTACTGTATAAAAAGCATTACAGTGGTACCTTGGATGCTGAACAGCTTGGCTCCCAAACCCGGCAAACCCGGAAGTAAGTGTTCCGGTTTGCGAACATTTTTTTGAAGCCGAACTTCTGATGCGGCTTCCGTGGCTTCCGATAGAGTGCAGGAAGCTCCTGCAGCCAATTGGAAGCCACGCCTTGGTTTTCGAACGGTTCTGGGAGTCGAACGGACTAATGGATTAAGTTTGACAAGCAAGGTACCACTGTATTTAGAATAGCAGTTTGCCTGACCCACTAAGGAAGATAACAACACAGTAGAATTCAAAATGGTAAGAATTAATTGCACATTTATTCAAAATCCAATTAAAGCTATTTAATTAATTAAAGAAAGTTACCTTGATCCAATGGCCTTTTCAAAGTCTGATATTCATTTACACCTCCAGTCTCCCCCTGCTTCCTCTTTGCCTCTTAGCACACCCCTAGGCAATATCACCACTGCCCCTCCTCCAGGGGGGCACCACTACATACTTAGGGAACCATTGACTTAGAAAGCTTTGTGATTCGGTGGCCTATAAATCTTTCTAAATAAATAAAATAAGAGGGGCGTAGTGTGTGCGTGGAGACAAATGGAGACTTAACTCCCAGTCCACAAATGAGGAAAACTGCTAGCAAGACATTTAAGGTACTATTGTCTCAGTTGGGACTGCATAGAATACCCCCCCCCCCAGGTTACAGTTCTCAAGCGGAAAATAGCAATTTCAGAGGGTAAAACCTATCTCCCGAGAAACGCTGTGCAAAAAGATTCATTGCTTTCTGGTGCTGTCCCCAGCCGCCCAGTCTGGGTGTCACTGTCTCCTTTTTAATTAATTTTTATTTCCCACTGCTTGGAAGGTGGAAGACTTCCCTTTGTTGGAGATTTTTAGATGGTGGTTGGATGGTCATCTGTCAGGGATTTTTAAAGCTGTGATATCTGTATTGCAGGGGGTTGGACTAGATGACCCTTCTGCTACCCTTCCAACCCTACAGTTCTTCGATTCTATTATTCTAAGAGTAGGAAACTGAGAGGAGTAGTTTTTGGATTTGATATCCCGCTTTATCACTACCCGAAGGAGTCTCAAAGCGGCTAACATTCTCCTTTCCCTTCCTCCCCCACAACAAACACTCTGTGAGGTGAGTGAGGCTGAGAGACTTCAGAGAAGTGTGACTGGCCCAAGGTCACCCAGCAGCTGCATGTGGAGGAGCGGGGAAGCGAACCCGGTTCCCCAGAATATGAGTCCACCGCTCTTAACCACTACACCACACTGGCTCTCAGGATTCTCTCTTTTGATTCTCAGGAATCAAAATGGACAGGTTTGCTCACCCCTAGGACCAAAGATCAGACAGGTTTTTCCTCACCCCAAGGTCCATCACCCTCTGTTATATCAGTACTATAATTAATCTGAGTTTGGTTGCTGGGAAAGCTCAGTTGGCAGAGCATGAGACTCTGAATCTCAGGGTTGTGGGTTCAAGCCCCACTCTGGGCAAAAGAGTCGTCCTGCATTGCAGGGAGTTGGACTAGATGACCCTCATGGTCCCTCCCCAATCTACAATTCTGTGATTCTTGCTTAGGCATTATGGAGTTGGGGGAAACAGGAAGCCAGCCACCAGTTCAGCTGCAGATCACAGTTATTTGGAAAGGTTTGCTTGTAGGTGGTGATAACAGGCAAAATGGCTGCCAGAGCGGGGGGGGGGGGAGGCGAGGGGCCACAGGGACTCCCTTATCACTGGTTGACCCCAAAACATAAGTTCTTCATCAGGTGGGCCAGAAGGGGTGGGGTCTACCCAATGCCTATGCCCAATCGCTTACTGTAGTAGTAAATAAAGTTCTGGCCTGATTTCACCCAAATATTTGTTGTCATGACTCTTATGCTTAGGGAGGACCGAAGTGAAAGCGGAGCTGCCTTGGCACATAACGGAAAACTGGGGAAGTAAAAACATCCCTGTTAGTTTCTGGAGAAAGCGAGAGGTGAAAGCTGCGTTGATTTGCCATCCACCAAATGTCGTCTTCTGCTTCTTCCCCAGCTGAAACTCCTAAGCATGAAAGCCCTTTTGAAACTCATCATTCCTGGGCAACTTTGCTCTCTGCTGGAAAGAAAAGGGAACCTTGATTGTCATGGCACCAGCTGTTTCTTTCTCTAAGGCAGGAAAAAGAAAACAAAAACACAGAGCAGGGATACTCATCAGCCATTCATTGCTCTTGCAAACATCTTTGCACCAGGAGGGGAGAAATGGTTTGTTTCTCTCTCTCTCTCTCTCTCTCTCTCTCTCTCTCTCTCTCTGTGTGTGTGTGTGTGCTACCAGATTTGCAAGCATCAGACTTTGTTAATCAATGAGTTGCTGCTAAGCAGAAACAGCCTGTTTGTGTCACAAGCCAAAGACACACACCCTCTCTCTTTCTCTCTCTCTCTGCTTAGTTGCATTCAAGGGACATTCTTTTCCAGACAGGTGGTGGTGGTTCCCACCAGGGCCTAAAATACTCCAAATACTGCCACTTTCCCTCTTAGGGGACTTGCTGCAGCTCCTTGATCATTTTGGCTGCTCCTTCCTGAAACTTTCCCACCCCTATAATATTGTTACACACCACCCCAATCTTCAACCAGCGAGAGACTCCAGGGCTTCCTTGCACTTATCCAGGTTTTCTTGGAAGGAAAGTCCACAAAGACTACCATGTCTTTAGGATATATGGTTTTATTGACACATATATACAACCTGGGCACAAGACAGATGGGCTCACAGCACTAGCACCCCAACAGATCTCACTTCTCTATTAGTCAAAGATTTGAATCCAGTGCTGAGCAAGCAGGTCTCTGTGTCTCCAGCTTCCAACCTCCTTCCAGCTCAGCTCACACCACTCTGCCCATTGTTAGGCAGGTAGGGAGGTGGCTCACTTATTTCTTCTATGGTACAAAGGCAATTTCTTTGATTATACTAATCACGGCGCTTAACTAGGCAGCCAAAACCTGTAGCAATATCCTTTCTGAGCTGCCTGTGGAGCAGAGCTCTGTTTTTTTGTTTGTTTGTTTGTTTAAAGCAGAGCAACATAGGATAGACCAAAAAAACCCCTTTAGGCTTTTAACTTTTTTTTTTTTTTTTTAAACTCACCTGGCTCCTGTCTGGGGTGAACATGATTTGGCTGCCTAGTTGCAATTTAGCTACTCTGCCAACACACCAGTAGAGCCTAGATTGGATGTACCGGTATATTTCTTCCGGCATATGGCACACTCCCTCTGAACAAGGAGTTTCCATTCGTTCTGCAAAAAAGCGACCCGGCGGCCAAGGGAAATCTTTGGCATTTTCTGAGTCTTCTTGCATGCATTCCTCCAGCGGAGGAGAACAAAATGCGGCCTCCGGGGACCGGTTGATTTTTTTATGGCTGAAAAGTGACAAACGGTCCCTGGCTTTCCAGGCCCTGAGGCTCTGCCTGCATCATGCCTGGCTTGGGGAGTGATACATGGCCATCAAGGAGCGGTTGGTCTTCATGGTTTCGTGGAAGTGCTGTTGAGAGGCAGGTTAGATGTCGAAAAAATAATTCATGGGCCAGGAGGGAAACGGTTTCACATCTCTGGGAATTGACCTGTCATCCAAGACACCTGCTATTAAGAAGAAAAAAGAATAGAGAGTCCCCACCCCTTGAAGGTGCCCTGTGCATGGAAATGTGTGACCTTTCCTAGGACTGAAGAACAATTGTGTACTGTTGTGAATCACAGGGGATCTAAACAATGAATGAATGAATGAATGAATGGGTGCTTCAGTCCATTTAACTGGTAGATTAGCCCACTGCAAGCAGAGTTGATTAACTAGTGAAGATCATTTTAAACTGGTGAGTCTGTGAGCTTAGGGGCTATGGCTCTATGGCAGGGGCTATTGATGGCCGCTTGCCATGATGGCTCTGTTCTGCTTCCTTGGTCAGAGGCAGTAAAACATCTGAATACCAGTTGCTGGAAATGGCAGGAAGGCAGAGGGCTCTTGTGCTCAGGTCCTGCTTGAGGGTTTTAATTTCCTGAAATGGAAGTGTTTGCTTATGTTGAATTGCTGTCTATTTTTAGTGTGGGGTTTTTCCTTTGGCATGCGATTGGCTGACTGTGAGTCACATGAGAGAGGCGTTCCATTCTGTTGTGACTGTTATTCAAGTAACTGTTATTTTTAACTGTTTTCTCTTCTTCACTCTCTCTGCGTGTGAGGGAGAATGGCTGCTGATAGAGGTTTCAGTGTGGACAGTGTGTTTCAGTGTGGTCTGCCTGGGCTGAAGCAGAGGAAGAACCCTAAATGTTAATGGGGAGAAACCTATGCTCTCTTAAAGGAACGAAGTGAATAAGCATAAGATATGTTTTCTCAGTTACCGTATTTTTTGCTCTATAAGACTCACTTTTTCCCTCCTAAAAAGTAAGGGGAATGTGTGTGTGTCTTATGGAGTGAATGCAGGCTGCGTGTGATGGCCTGGGAATCTGATTCAGAAGCTGAATCTGAGGAGTTCCAGCCTGCACAGGAGTCCCCACCTCCAGGGCCGGCTGAGCTGGGGCAGGGGCTTGAATCTGAAGGGCCTGCACCTGTGCCGGGTCCTCAGGAGCAGACACCAGATGTATCCACTCTGGCTCCGGAGGTGATTGAGGACCCATTGCCTGCAGGTGCGCCTCTCCCAGCCCTGTCAGGGGAAGGTGAAGCTGCTCCTGGGTCCAGTAACCCTCCAGCCTCTCCTGAGCTGCAGAGGCTCAGGGCAGAGAGGTGGAGGGAACTAAATTCTCTCAGGAGGAGTGCTCGCCTTAAGGCCAGGAGAGGCGGGTCACCTGTGGGCCGGGACCGCCCCTGGCCTCAGAGGAGATAAAGGCCAGTCAGCCCAGTCCCAAGTTGCGGGAGCAACGTCGTTGGAAACCTGTTTCTGCCAGCACCCAGACCTGTTCTTCCGGAGTTCCTGACCACGCCCGGCTTCTTGCTTTGGACCCCGCTTCGCCCTTGGTGGACAGTCTCCAGACCCTCGACCCAGGACTGGACTCTGACCACACCTCTCGGTAACCCCGGGTTCATCATACTGCGCAGCTATCCCAGAAGCCAGAACAGGAAGAGGGATTGCTGCTTTCACTGCACAGCGATCCCTCTTGCTGTTCTGGCTTCTGAGATTCAGAATATTTTTTTTCTTGTTTTCCTCCTCCAAAAACTAGATGCGTTGTGTGGTCTGGTGCCTCTTATAGAGAGAAAAATACGGTATACGTTTATGAAAGTAAAGTTCTTTTGAATATTAAGAGTCTGGACATTGCATATCATCTATATACAGTGGAACCTTGATTGTTGAATGTAATCCGTTCCAGAAGACTGTTCGACTTCCGGAACATTCGTCAACTGAGGCACAATTGCCGGTCGGCAAAATCCATTGACAAAATGGAGAAACATGACTAAGAAGCCATTCAACTTCTGAGGCACGTTTGAAAACGTAAGCATTCACTTCCGGGTTTTCGGCGTTTGAAAGCCGAAATGTTCAACTTCCGAAACATTTGACAACCGAGGTTCCACTGTATATAACTAACTAACCTGTTGGTCATCCGTAATATAGAAATGATTATAGGAGATATGGCTATGCCTATATCCCCCAGGCAATTGTGTATAAAGTTTGGTTTCAGTATGAAGCTCTCAGGAGAGACTTTGGGGGCATGATTAACTTTAGGAAGTGTATGAGGGTGAGAGCGAGCCAGCCATGGTGAATGATTTGATATCGATTCCCTACAGGCAGGTTCCATTCATTCCGAGTTCCAGAAGGACATTTAATCTTTGTTAAAAATAAATAAGTTCAATTATTGGAAAGGGGCAAAAAATACAGTAGTGTATTTATTGCAAGTAAATCAAAAGTAATTACTCTGGGAAAAGTTATATTTTGGAGGCTTTCAGCCACACGTTGCATGCTGTGTCTCTGATTGTCATGGGGAAAAAAAAGGAATTTGGAAGTGATGGAGCAGAGATGTGCTTGTGCTTGCGCTGTGTGCGAGTGTTGAGCAAAGAGAGGAAGAGCACTGAGTTTCAGGCAAGGCCAATTGACAGACCTGGATACCTTGCAGTTGAGGGTGGGATGAGGTGGAGCTCATTTGTGGCCAGGAAAAGCAGATACCTGAGCAAGTCTGCATAAGGAGTGTTAGTGGACCCATTCAAGCCTCTTGGCTTGGTGTAGCTGATCGCAGGAAGCTGCCTGATACTAAGTCAGACCATTGGCCCATTTACCTCAGTACTGTCTACACTGACTGGCAGTGGCTCTCCAGGTTTTCAAGCAGGGGACATTTGCCAATTTGCATTTTCCTGGTGCAGAAAGTATTGATCTGATGTGCAGAGATCTTTCCTATTCTAATTCATTCAAGAGGGTTCTGGAGACTTCTCTGTGTGAAAGAAAGTTGCAGAAGGTTCATGATGTTTGGGTTATTACTTCGGAGAAGTGGAGTACAGCTGGCTTAAACTGGTTCTGTTATCTCTTTGTGTCAAGGTCATGCTGTCTATAAAAGTAAGGCCAGGAGGAGCCTGGGATTCACTCTTTTCTATCTCTTTTTCCTTCTGCTGTGGTGTTCTGCACATAATATGCTTAGTGTTAAGGTTTATGGACAGTGCCAATCCCGAATGTATTGGATTTGTGACCATTATGCTCATTTGCCTTTAGTAGCAGTAAAGCTCTGCTGCATGAAATATTAATTGTCTCTGGTCTATTGAAGGGAAGTTCTGCTTCTGCACATTTTTGGGGAATTCTGCAATGTGTTAAGTTTTTACTCTGCTAACTATACATTGGAATCTACTCTGGATCAATGTTGTTGTTGTTGTTGTTGTTTAGTTGTTTAGTCGTGTCCGACTCTTCGTGACCCCATGGACCAGAGCACGCCAGGCACTTCTGTCTTCCACTGCCTCCCGCAGTTTGGTCAAACTCATGCTGGTAGCTTCGAGAACACTGTCCAACCATCTCGTCCTCTGTCGTCCCCTTCTCCTTGTGCCCTCCATCTTTCCCAACATCAGGGTCTTTTCCAGGGAGTCTTCTCTTCTCATGAGGTGCCCAAAGTACTGGAGCCTCAGCTTCAGGATCTGTCCTTCCAGTGAGCACTCAGGGCTGATTTCCTTCAGAATGGAGAGGTTTGATCTTCTTGCAGTCCATCGGACTCTCAAGAGTCTCCTCCAGCACCATAATTCAAAAGCATCAATTCTTCGGTGATCAGCCTTCTTTATGGATCAGTACTCTGGATCAATACTGAATAGAATTCAATGACAACATTCTCAGCCCGAACCTGTAGATTCTGCCAGGAACTGAACCTGGGACCTACTGCATGAAAAGCAGATGTTCTGCTATTCGGCCCTTCCCAAATAGGAACATGGGAAGATAGCTTTAACTGAGCCAGATTATTGATCCATTCATCTCAGTGCTGTTGACACTGACTGGCAGCCACCCCCCAGGGTTTCAGGTAGGGGACATTCCCAGCCATAGCTGGAGATGCCATTGGCAATTGAAACTGGGACCTTCTGCATGCAAACAGCTGTTCTTCCACTTTGCCACACACTTCCACCTTATAATAGACCTTCCACCTGCTCCACTTTGAATGGGACATCCTGGATCTACAAAAGGCTTCTGTTTTAATTCCCAGATGTCTCACTTCCTCTGCCACTGCCAAGGCGAGGCCAAGGCTGCCTCCACAGCCACTGTGGCAAAGCCTCCTCTGTCTCTAGGTCTCAGCCACGTCCGCTGACGCCTTTCTGGAAGCGGCTTGGGAGAAGAGAGAGCCCAGCTGGTGAAGGTAAGGTTGCAGGGTGGTGGGGTGGCAGCAGCAGCCATGGTGGGCCAAAGTGGACTGAGCGGGCAGGGAGGCGAGCGGTAGGGTGGCAGTGGCAGGCTGATGTAGCCTATGCGGGTGGCAGTGTGAGTGGCTAGGCCACACAGGGATAGGGATAGTGGCAGTGGCAGTGGCAGTGGCGGGCTGAAGTGGCCTGTGCAGGGGTAGGATCCTTTGCTCGCTACTGCATCCGTGAACGGAGGATCCTCCACACGTGGCTGAGGCGGCGTGATGGCTTCTTGTGCCACCGCGCCCGGGGCGGCAGGGCGAGCACCCTGCGGGGTGCCTTCTTGTCACCCCCCCAGACACGGCACCCGGGGTGCATGGCCCCCCCTTGCGATGCCACTAGTTAGGGCGATGTTCCGGATTTATCTTGGGAAAAGTTGGAGCATATGTTATAAGTGAAGTCATCCCAGCCAGCAGATCTACTGCAGGCCTTGGTTAGGGGCAGACCCGACGTTTCCCGCAAGCAGCAAAGCTGAGCTCTCAGCAGCAACTCCACCCAAGACACAGATTCAGAGGCATTTCTCGTATGCCTCTAGGAATAAAGCTGGAGCGAGCTCCTATTCAGCAGAAGTTTAAAATGAACAATGCTGCATAAAGGGATTCCCCCCGCCCCCAGCTTGAAAACCGTGGCCTTTCGCACAATGGAATAAAATGGGAGCGCGGGAGAGAGAGAGACAGAAATTGAATCTCAGCACTTGTTCCTGAGAAAGGGAGAGAGGAAGCCCTTTATCCACCTTTAGAGGAAAATGGTACCTGGCTGTCATTAGAGAAAGGGATCATTTTTCTTGGCCGCGTAATATTTCAAGGCAATCAGCGGCCACTTAATTACCCGTGGGATTCTCTCAATAAACGGGTCTCGCTAAAGGGGCTGTGCGAGAGCCCGCATAAGGTTACCCAGAGAACCGTTTTTGTCAGTCACAGTTATTTCAGATAATAGTCCAAAGTTCAACAGCATTCATATTGGTCCTCTGGATTCAATTGATTTTGTTAAAGTTCACTCTGGCAGTCAGAGCCCGTGACTGCAGCGATTGCAGTCCAGGGACCCTTCCCGGAAAGTTATTGGCATTCCAGGCATGTGCCGGTTGAGATGGCAGTTCATGATGGCTGCGAAGACGGCTGGACCGGTGGCAGGGAAGAAAAAGAGGGAGTTTGTTTCCAGATTACCAAGTAAATACTTTGCAGTAATTACAACTTTAAATTCTAAAAGCGGTGATCTATAGGAGTAATATCGCATGTATAGGCAAGAGGGGAGTTTCTGCGGCCATCAGGGAACGGAGCGTTGGCAGAAGGATTAGATTAGTGGTGAAATGAAGGCAAGGCGGTGAAAATGAAAAATGAACGGTGCCCGAGACGGTGCTGCTCGTGGCTGACTCAACCTGCCGACAACGTCAAACAGGGATCTATCGTCACGGCCCCTTCCGACTCCCGTTTGCTAAGTGAAAGATGGAGTTTGCCTCCAGTTGCAGAGAACTGCCATTACACCCAAATGGACCTCATCATGATAAAGAATGATAACATTGCATTCCACCGAGTGGAAGAGGGGTACAGTGGTACCTCGGGTTAAGAACTTAATTCATTCTGGAGGTCAGTTCTTAACCTGAAACTGTTCTTAACCTGAGGTACTTTAGCTAATGGGGCCTCCTGCTGCCACTGCCACACGATTTCTGTTCTCATCCTGAAGCAAAGTTCTTAACCCAAGGTACTATTTCTGGGTTAGCGGAGTCTGTAACCTGAAGTGTCCGTAACCTGCAGCGTCTGTAACCCGAGGTACTACTGTATTACAAAAGCCACCAGGTAGTCTGAGGGGAACTCTGACTGCAGATGGCACGGTTTGCTGTGGGTGGCTGAGGCACTCACCTTGGCACCCACCAAAATGGACCTCATTCTGACAAGAACCCAAGACATTCCACACAATAATACAGGGATGATAACTTGTTCCTCAACGCTGACAGCTCCTTTCTCAGGTGATTCCCATTCTGCAGCTGCTTTGGCTGCCAAATCTGTCCTTCATTTTCCTTTTGATTTCAATTTGTCCTTTCTGTTGTGCTTGGCAGAGGACTACTGCCACCTCCTAGGTGGTCCACGCTGCTTCCAGGACAGCAATGATTTCTGAGACATAATTTACTGCCTTTCCTGTAGATTTGGGATGGCCCCTTTCCTTCAGGCCCCATGAGGATCAAGTGTTGTGAGAGCATGCTTTGAAGGAGCGTCTCCACCCCCATCGTTCAGCTCGGACACTGAGGTCCAGCTCTGAGGGGCTTCTGGCGGTTCCCTCACTGCGAGAAGTGAGGTTACAGGGAACAAGGTAGAGGGCCTTCTCGGTAGTGGCACCTGCCCTGTGGAATGCCCTCCCGTCAGATGTCAAAGAAATAAACAACTCTCTGACATTTAGAAGACATATGAAGGCAGCCCTGTTTAGGGAAGCTTTTAATGACTGATGTTTTAGTGTATTTTTAAACTTTTGTTGGAAGCTACCCAGAGTGGCTGGGGAAACTCAGCAAGATGGGCAGGGTATAAATAATAAATTATTATTATATTATTATCCAGCCTCCCGCCAATTGCACTGCTGTGGTTTAGGGCTATGATCTCTGCCTTCTGGGCTGGAAGTGCCCACTGGGAGCGGTTCATGGTACCCATCTGGTGACTACAGCATTGCAAGTCCCGTGGAGACGTCCTGCAGGGACTCAGGACCGCAGCAGAACCGCAATTGGATCAGTGTCCTGAACCCCTGGCCTACCTGGTGGCAAGTTAGTATGTCAAGCCCCCAGTTCAGGGTCAATCCACAGGTCCAAAGTCCTGCAAAGATTCAAGCTGAGGTCCATCAACATGGGCAGATGAGCAGACACAGCACCTCAGCTCTGCTGCCCTTTTATACTTTGAATGCTGACCGCAGCATCTGGGCTTGAGGAGGCAGGTGACCCTCACCTGTCCTGAGCCTATTCCAGCTGAGGAATCACACACCTCCTCCCAGAGCTAGCAAGCCCCACCTGGCCAGCTAGTGACCTGGGCTGTGGGTCCTTGCCCGCCTGAACCTCCTAGAGCATCACTCCTGCTGCTCCTTATGCCTGAAAGCCTGCCGTGTTCTAGGAGACTGGGGCCCCTCTAGCTCTGGTGATGGGCCCTTGTCAGGGACTGGGCAGAGGAGGGATAGTGCAGACCACCTCCCCAGCCTGACCCTTCCAGAGAAGAAGAAGAAGACAGTTCAGAAATTACAGCAGGGGTTTGAGGGAGGTCACAGCTCAGAGGAAGATGAAGGGAAAAGTTGGGAAATAATGGGAGAGGAGGAGGAGGCAGAGTCAAAGCAGCTGGCTGCCACATTATTACTAGAAAGCATTCCAGACCCACCATCTCCTAGAATCTGGGGAGCCTTAAAAGTAGGAGAGCAAAGAGCTCAAAGACAGAGGGCATGTAGCGGCACCCGTAAAGGGGTGTGTGTGCTGTTGACCAATGAGGAAGTGGGAGAGAAGAGGGGGTATAGATTTACTCGGGACAACGCCATTATTCCAAGAGGTTGCATTGCCAAGCCTCTCTCTGTAAATATTGAATAAAAAGCAGATGGTAAGGACTTTTCCTTGTCTTAATAAATATACTGCCCTATACCCAGAGGTATCAGGGCAGTTCACAGAATAAAATCACAATCTATAAAATCAAAATAAGAACAATAACTCAGTAACAGCCCCCCCCCCCAAGAGCCACATTTTAAAAGGGTATAGGATGTCCATCAGGTCAACCAAAGGCCTGGTTAAAAAGGAATGTTTTTGCCTGGTGCCTAAAGGTAAATAATGAAGGCGCCAGGCGAATTTCCCTGGGGAGAGCATTCCAGAGACGGGGAGCCACTGCAGAGAAGGCCCGTTCTCGTGTTGCCACCCTCCGGACATCTTGAGAAGGAGGCACATGAAGAAGGGCCTCAGAAGATGATCTCAGGGTCCGGGAAGGTTCATATGGAAAGAGGCGGTCCTTGAGGTATTGCTGTCCTGAGCCATTGTCTTATCCGTTCCTGGCAACCAGCCATGGGGGTTGGTTCCTCTGCTACCTGACAGCCCTGCTGCTCTGGTTCCTGTGCATTGACCCCAATTGACCCCCTTGTCACCCTTCGTCACCCCGTGAGTACTTCCTACACAAACTTCTCTTTCCCATCCCAGCTTGCCCAAGTGTGTCCTAGTCTCAGCTATACCCCTTGCCAGAATCTCCCCCCTCCTCCCTGTTGTCCTGCCAGTTCATGTCCTTCCACTTCCATCACGAGTGGTAGAAGGAGCTCAAAGACTTGGAAGCTGAGGATCCTGAGGAGGGTTTCAGTGGGCTGTCACCAAATCAGTCCACGTCGGCCCAGCATGCAAGTTATCTAAGTGTCGGATGTTTTCAGGTTTGGATCAGGAGCCCCGGAAGCGAGGCACTGACAAGCAAAAGCTAGCAAGATATTTTTTTTTGAGAGGGGACATTTGGCATGTTTGGAATGTTGAGAAAGTGCCATGGGTGTCTATCACAAAATGGCTGCTGGGTGGGTATGACGAGGCACAAAATGGCTGCCGCATCTGAAAGAAAGAAAGAAGCAGAAGCAGAAAAAGAGAGTGTCAACTGACCTGTGGCGTAGTGTGTGTGTGTGTGGGGGGGGCACAGGGATGGTTTCCTCGGGCGTAAAATTGTTAGGGGGTGCAAAATTTCAACACTCAGTGCTGTCTCAATACAGTTCCGCTGAAAATGGCTTCTTCATACAAACCAAGAAATGATTTCCCTGGACAACGGAACAACTCTTCTTTTCTTATCTCTGTGACTGCAATCTCCTGGGTGACATGGAAGCCAAAAGGCAGTTGAATGCACATGCGTGCTTCATCCTTTCCCCTCGTATCCACCCACCCACCTGCTCTGCGCTGTCCCGGGTGCTGACAACCCATGCTACGTCACTGCAACTGATAAATACCTGGTGGGGACTCGGCTTGTGCACCACCACCCACTTCCAGCAAAAGCAGGAAATTACTAAGATAACTGAGGGCCCATGGCTTAGTGCATAGCATCTGCTTTCATGCAGAAGGCCTTGGTTCAATACCCTGTGGTATCTCTCCTGTGGATATCCCCTGCCTGAACCCTTGTTCCCTGTCAGTGGCAGCTCCTCATATGTGGAATCACCTCCCTAGTAAGGTGTGCCTGACCCCGTCTCTCTGTACTTTTAAATGGTTAGTTAAGATGAATCTTTTTCAGCGAGTGTTTGGAGCAGGAGAGATCCAATTGCTGCTACTTTGATCAGTCATTTCTCTTTTGCTATTTGTTGCATGTTTTTCGAACGATTGTGCTGTTGGATGGGTTTTATTGATTTCTGTCTGTTTGCCTTGTTGTAAACCACCTTGTGGTTCATGCAAAGGAAGGCAAATAAATTATCTTAAGCATATGAATAAAAATAACGACTATGCTGCGTTCGTGATTCCTATGTGTTCCTGTCTAGTTTCATGGGAAAAACAAATACTGCGAATGGTGGTCTGGCTGCCTTGGTGGGAGAGATGAGAAGCAGGACTAATTCCATCAGCCTTTCTGAAAGACTAGCTCCATCAGGCTGTTTCTATGCTAGCTGGCATGAACTTCTATTTAAGAATCATTGTCTGAGTTTGCTTTTTTCCTCTTCCCTCCCTGTCCCTTTCCCCTTGTGTGTCATGCCTTTTAGATGTTAACCCTGTGGGCAGGACTGTCTTGTGTTAATCTGTTGTATGGAAGCCCCTGTGGCAGCCTTTTCCCAGAGAGCCACAATTTCTCCCCACCTTCATGTGCAAAAGCAGCCCTTATCACTAGACCCAATGCATCCTACATCATTGCACACAGGTTTTGTGGAAGAAGCTAGAACAAAAGGAATGCAATAATCTTTTTAATATTCCCAGCAGAGAAAACATAATCAAATATGAATGTGATGCAACATATGAATCTATAAACCTGAGCCATATTGCTGTGCCGTCCCTTAAAACCCAGAAGCGGCTCCCTGATGCCTAATAAGCAGGCTCTGAAAGTTAATCAGAGCATTATTGGCCCAGGATGACAAGGCGGGGATGAGCATAAAGCTAAAGAGGATCTCAGGAGATAGCAGCAGGATTTCCAGTCCTGAAAACTGCCCTGAGACCTCCGGGTGTGGGGCGGTATATAAATTCAATAAATAAATAAATAAATAAATAAATAAATAAATAAATAATCCAGTGGTACCTTGGTTCTCAAACTTAATCTGTTCCGGAAGTACGTTCAAAAACCAAAGCGTTCCAAAACCAAGACACGCTTTCCCATAGAAAGGAATGCAAAACAGATTAACCCATTCCCGACTTTTAAAAACAACCCCTAAAACAGCAATTTCACATGAATTTTACTATCTAACGAGACCACTGATCCATAAAGTGAAAGCAATAATCAATGTACTGTACTATAAAATAAATAAGACAGTATTGTAGATGTTGAAAAATAAAATTAATTTTTTCCCTTACCTGCACTGATGATAGTCATGGTTTGGATGTGGGGCTTTTATCCATTTCCGCAGTCACACAATCAGTCAATCAGTAGCTGAACTGGGTTCCACACAGTCACAAAAACAAATTAACCAAAAAAAGCCACAAAAACACAAAATAAATAGCAAAAACAAAAGCGCCAAACTTAATCTGTTCCAGAAGTCCGTTTGACTTCTGAAATGTTCGAAAACTGAGGTGCAGCTTCTGATTGGTGCAGGCGCCCCGGAAACAATAGCTGACAACCGTATTGGACATTCAGCTTCTGAATTTTTTTTGAAAACTGGAACACTTACTTCCGGGTTTTTGGCGTTTGGGAACCAAGGTGTTTGAGTACCAAGGTACCACTATAATAACAAAGGGGGTATTATCAAAATGCGTCAGTTAGGATCCACAAGGAGCATTGAAATGTGTCAAGGGATTTTGGAGTGGGGAGGGGAAGTGTGGAAAGAATGCCATGCATCTCAGGAAGTACAGAATGGCAAGGAGGAGAACTGAATCCCTCTACCAGAGAAGCAGCAGCTGCAGGGAGCTGGTTTCCGTGCTCCAAGCTGCCCTGCCACTGTCCCCATGCCTAGAAAGCACGGTGGCCTTCCATTTGCTCCACTGCTTTCCCCAAAGAAAACCCAATTGACATTTGCTCCAAATCAGAGGTGGGGTCCCCCAGGGAAAAGCGGTGGGACAGCTGGAAGTGGGGATGAGACCCTACTCTGGCCTTATCCATCAAACAGAAGACTAGAGGCCAGCGGGAGGCCGTACCTCCCAGGGGCGTAGCATTGTTTGCCGGCTCCCGGGGCAGGTGCGTTCACAAGCTCCGGAGGCAAAGGCAGAGGGTGCTCATCCAGTCCTTGCCGCTGATGTGGCCAGGCTGGTGCTCCAGGCAGGGACGGGGCATGAAGAGTTCTCTGCCCCAGCACTTATTACTGATGGGCAAGGGGGCACACCAGGAGGGGACAGGGCACAGAGGGTGCACACCGGGGATTGGGGGGGGGTGCTGGTTTGTATCATCCTAATTGTGTGCCTGGAGCAATAATCACAATCACCACCACCACCATCATCACCATCATCATCACAATAATTTATTATTTATACCCCACCCATTTGGCCAGGCCTCCCCAGCCACTCTGGGAAGCTCCCAACAGAATATTAAAACACTATAAAACATCAGATATTAAAAACTTCCCTAAACAGGGCTGCCTTCAGATGTCTTCTAAAAGTCAGATAGTTGTTTATTTCCTTGACATCTGGTGGGAGGGTGTTCCACAGGGTGAGAGTCACTACTGAGAAGGCCCTCTGCCTGGTTTCCTGTGGCTTCGCTTCTCGCAATGAGGGAACCGCCAGAAGGCCCTCGGAGCTGGACCTCAGTGTCTGGGGCTGAACGATGGCGGTGGAGACTCCTTCATGTATACTGGACCGAGGCCTCTGCCCCCGCATGATCCCCCTGCCCCCGCACGCTACACTACTGGTACCTCCTGTCTCCCAAAGGTCGTCATTGTAGGGGGAAGGTCAACCTAGCCCCATCCACAGGCCAGGGAAGGAGCAGCTGCAAGGAATTTGTTTACTTGCCCTCTGCCGCACAGTACATCCTGCTCCAACTTCCAGTTGACCTGGGACTACAGAGATGGTTCCTTCTGGTTCTGTCCATTAGCCAGGCCACTAAGGGCTCCTAGGTCATGCTTTACTGAGGTTTGCATTATGACACGTTCATGTCTATTATTACTACCCATTGTAAGCTGCCCTGAGAGTCATTGGCTCAAAATGTGGTATCCAAATCAATGAATGTAGCTATAAATAACAAGAAGGGTTCAAGTATCTTAATGGCATTAGAGGCTGTTGGCTGCTGTATCAAGGGGGAGTTCTGATATTTTGCAATAGTTGGTGCACCCATTGCAGGTTTTCTGTTTCCTTCCCCAACCCCTGCCTTTCCCCCCTCTTACCTCCTGCAAGATAGCTGGGAATCAATCAAGCCTTTTCATTTCACTCCCACTTAGCAAGCATCCTCATTATTAATAATTGGATAGCTTAATTTTAATTCCATTTATTCAAATCATTATTCCGCCCATTGATCAATACAGTGGTAATTAGATTAACAAATACAGAGTGATTAACGGCCACAGGAAATGCAGTTTAATTAATTTAAATGAAGCGCTTTCGCTTTTTTTAAAAGGAGGAGGTGAAAACCACCCCAGACCGTTTTAGTTTATTTATTCCTCAGGTGGGAGGGGGCTGTATAGCATATCCCAAATTGATGCGAGGCTTCCCCATCCCTATTATTTTTAAATATTGAAAATTGAGTTGGGATCTAAGGTAAAAGTGCATCCTTCATGAAAAAGCAGAAGTTTAGGAAATGCAAAATGCACAGTATTGTGAGCTACTGCAGAGGCAGGCAATCGGTAGCCCTAAGGCCACAATGAGTAGTACCTACACTCCATGAATTTGCTTAATACCACCCATGTTGGTAGCCATTACTGTCTCCAGCAGAAGCAAGTTTTGTAGTTTAACTATTTGCTGCGTGACTAAATCCTTTCTTTTTATTGTTTAGTCATGTCCGACTCTTCGTGGCCCCATGGACCAGAGCACGCCAGGCACTCCTGTCTTCCACTGCCTCCCACAGTTTGGTCAAACTCATGCTGGTAGCTTAGAGAACACTGTCCAGCCATCTCGTCCTCTGTCGTCCCCTTCTCCTTGTGCCCTCCATCTTTCCCAACATCAGGGTCTTTTCCATGGAGTCTTCTCTTCTCATGAGGTGGCCAAAGTATTGGAGCCTCAACTTCAGGATCTGTCCTTCCGGTGAGCACTCAGGGCTGATTTCCTTCAGAATGGAGAGGTTTGATCTTCTTGCAGTCCATGGGACACTCAAGAGTCTCCTCCAGCACCATAATTCAAAAGCATCAATTCTTCGGCGATCAGCCTTCTTGATGGTCCAGCTCTCACTTCCATACATCACTACTGGGAAAACCATGGCTTTAACTATACAGACCTTTGTTGGCAAGGTGATTTATCTGCTTTTTAAGACGCTGTCTAGGTTTGTCATTGCTTTTCTCCCAAGGAGCAGGCGCCTTTCTTTTTACCTGTCCCAAATCTCCCATTCAGCTTCATTGGAAGCTCATGTGTTCTAGTGCCAGCTCTATAATCTCACCTCTTACTCAGCTTTCCTCTCAACTAAGAGGTCCCAACTGCTGCAACCATTCTTCATAGGGGACTCGCTCCACCCCCTTGATCTTTCACAAAGCCCCAGGCCTTTTGCGGGCAGTGCGTGTGGAAATGGCCTCAGAATTGCTGGAAAACATTCATGGGAGATTCTATAAAATGGTTTTCTTGTTTCACAGGGGTGGGATGAGAAGATGAAATCTCAGATGTTTCCTCGGGAAAACATAAGAGAAATTTCAGCTTGGCTGTTTGCAACGCATTAAGACATCTCAAGGAGGTTGTCTTGGCTGAATCAGACCATTGGCCCATCTAAGCCAGTGCAGTCTACATTGGCTGGCAGCATCTCTCCAGTCAAGAGACACACCCAGGGCTACCTGGAGATGCCAGGAATTGAACCTGGGACCTTCTGAATGGAAAGCAGATGCTCTACCACTGAGCTACAGACCTTACTGTAAGACACAGGAACATAGGAAGCTGCCATTGGCTCACCTAGTTCAGTATTGTCTACACTGGCTGGCAGCAGCTCTCCAGGGTTTCAGGCAAAGGATAATCCCAGCCCTGCCTAGAGATGCTGGGGATTGAACCTGGGACCTTCTGCATGCAAAGTAGATAATAATAATAATAATAATAATAATAATAATAATTGCACTAATAATAATAATAATAATAATTGCACTAATAATTTCTTTCTTGCACTAATTTCATTTTTTTACCTCCATCCCCCAGGATTTTGTGTTGTAGCCCCGTTCCTCTCTCCAGCTTCAATGAGACATTTCCTTTTGCACTCTCATCCCACCTTGTGAATCATCTCAAGGAAATGTTAACACATCTCATGGGGTCCTCGATGTCTGGCGTGCCCAAAATGAGTTAAAACCCCCCCGTCGGTTTTGTGAGATGCAAAGCATTGAGCTCGCCGGGATCGGTCTGTGTGTGTTTTGGGAAAGAGCAGTTGACCCGCTTTCCGGCAATCTGTAGAAGGCCAGGGCTCCCCCTGGGAAGATTTTGTGATTCATCTTTCTGGGCATTGATTCCTGGCCTTGTTTTTCAGACGTTGTTGTTCTCCAAAATACAGACAAAGACCTTTCGCTACCGCGAACGGAAGACCCATAAAATGTCTGCGTTTCAAAATCGCGTTGTAATGAGCGTGCCTGGAAATCACGCGTTTTAATCCGGGAGGAGTCTAAGCAAAGCTACCTGAAAGGAATGAGTTTGCTGTGGACTTTCAGGGCGCAACTGAGTATCTATAAACAAGAAATATCGATGGAAGTGGTTCCCCTTATTCCAGATTATTGCAAAGTCTGCTACCTGGCAGGGCCATTATGTTCCCTCTTCCAGATAGTGGGATGCAGTGATGGGAAATACTTTTTCTCCTGCTGATTCCTTTACAAGCATTCAGCTGCTAAAGTCACAGGAAGCCCCCCTCCCACAAAGAACCCTCCTCAGTTTTGGAGGATTGGGAGAGGTAATGGAAGAAAGGGGTTAAGTTTACCGCATGTACGATGTTAAAGGAAAATATAATAAAAATGATGTATAGATGGTAGTTGACCCCTGTCAAAGTAGCAAAGATTTATCATAACTGTGATAACCTATGTTGGAAATGTAAAGAAAAAGAAGGAACTTTTTATCATATGTGGTGGACCTGCCCCAAGGTGAAAGACTTCTGGGAAGTCTTTTGTTTTTGTTTGTTTTTCGGTTGTGCAATGTTTGTTGCAATATTTGTTATAATTGTAGAAAATTTAATAAAAATCATTGGGGGGAAAAAGAACCCTCCTCAGTTTTCCCTCAGCCAGCCCTCACCTGTCTGCCTTCTTCCTCACAACCAGCGGGTGGCCTTGGCTGTCAGCTTCTTCCTCCTCCTCCTCCTCCTCCTCAGTCTCAAGTACTGCCCTTGTATAACTCAGAATAAAAGAGGATGGGAACTAGAATGGGTTGGATTTGCCTCTCTTGGGCTCTGGCGCCACCTACTGTCGGGCTCCTTGCCTTCCATCCTACCAGGGTTGGTGGCTGCATGAAAATGGGGGGGGGGAGAACTTGGGGAGGGACAAAGCCCAGTATTTGTTTCTTGAAAGTTCCCTGAAACTTTCTGCTTTGCCTAAGTCCCCCCCCCTGCTTTTTTTCTAAAAATGCATTTATTACCATCTAATGAGCTAGTGCTGCTCTTCCATACCAATAGCGGAGCTGACGATAATATATGGCTTTAATTAGCAATCTGGATTTGAGGTATGGCTTATTATGTGGATAGTTTCAAAGCATTTCCCCCATAAAACAACGCCTTTGGAGAGGTTTCCTAATGACACGGAGATCTCCATTTTGTAATATAATCATGTAATTCTCTAGGCAATAATTACACACTGGCCTGCTGGTTAGTCATGACATTCTAGATTTCTTGGATGTGCATCCCCAGTCGTCTCAAGGTAGGGCTAAGGTAAGGGTAGAATGACCTCTGAGGATGATTTGAAAGGACGCTGCTCCCACACTTGAGTGGGGTGTGTGTGTGAACTTGCCACACCCTGATTCCCCCAGGGAAGGAGACTCAGGTAGTCTCTCCCTGGCTGGGGTTAGGGTTGGGATGACTCATGTGCAAGTGTGAGCCGGTCATAGTGTTATGGGAAAAAACCTGCTCCTTTCCCTTATGAGGTATCCAAGAGCCCGTTATAGAGTCCTTAAGTGGGTTCCCTATCAGTAGGAGAAAATAACAGAGGCCAACCAGAGTATATTGAGAAGCAAAGCGGCTAGTAAGCCTGATCTTTATTAAACTGTTGCAACAGGGTCCCCACTCACCACACACAGGAGGGAGGAGAGAACCCCGAACAATGGTGCGCAAGCGCTTATATAGACTTTTGAAATTGCCCACCCTGTAGCTCAAGACTGTGGGAATGTTTATATAATTTAGCAGAGTTTAAACAATCCCGTTTGAGTAAATGGAGCGACAAGCGGGTTGCTTTTTTTTTTTTTTAATTAATATTTATTAAAGTTTCAGAAAAAATAAAATCATATTAATAAACAAGAGAAATTTGAAAAAAGAAAGAAAGATACACAATAGAAAATACAAAATACAAAAAGAAAAAAAAGAAAAAAAAGAAAAAAAACCAGTTAAAAACAATTCCGTCTTTTCATAACTTCTTTTACATTTACTTGTTTCCCTGACTTCCTCATACCTTCCTCTTTTGTATTCCAATTCAGTTTGTTTGTCCAGCAATTCCTTTCCCTCCTTTTTAATCCCAATCCTTAATCTTAATATAATATAACATTAAATTTTTACCTATTAAAAACCAATTTTCCATTCTTTTAACCTTTTTAATCCTAATCCTTAATCTTGATCTATATATAACTTTAAAACCAGTACAGCTAGAAGCCACTTAATTTCAATCCATCATCACTCTAACATTCTTTAATTTTGCAATATTTCTGTAAATAATCTTTGAATTTCTTCCAATCTTCTTCCACCGACTCTTCTCCCTGGTCACGGATTCTGCCAGTCATTTCCGCCAATTCCATATAGTCCATCAATTTCATCTGCCATTCCTCCAGTGTGGGTAGCTCTTGTGTCTTCCAATACTTTGCGATGAGTATTCTTGCTGCTGTTGTTGCATACATAAAGAAAATTCTATCCTTTTTTAACACCGATTGGCCGACTATGCCCAGGAGAAAGGCCTCTGGTTTCTTCAAGAAGGTATATTTAAATACCTTTTTAAATTCATTATATATCATCTCCCAGAAAGCCTTAATCTTTGGGCACGTCCACCAAAGGTGAAAAAATGTACCTTCAGTTTCTTTACATTTCCAACAATTATTATCAGGCAAGTGATAGATTTTTGCAAGCTTGACTGGGGTTATGTACCACCTGTATATCATTTTCATAATATTTTCTCTTAAGGCATTACATGCCGCAAATTTCATACCTGTGGTCCACAACTGTTCCCAGTCAGCAAACATAATGTTATGTCCAACATCTTGTGCCCATTTAATCATAGCAGATTTCACCGTTTCATCCTGAGTGTTCCATTTCAGCAGCAAGTTATACATTCTTGACAAATTCTTAGTTTTGGGTTCTAATAATTCTGTTTCTAATTTTGATTTTTCCACCTGGAAGCCAATTTTCTTGTCCAAATTGTATGCCTCCATTATCTGATAGTAATGAAGCCAGTCTCGCACTTTATTTTTTAATTTTTCAAAACTCTGCAATTTCAGTCTATCTCCATCTTGTTCCAAGATTTCCCAATATTTCGGCCATTTGACCTCCATATTGAGCTTTTTCAAGGCTTTCGCTTCCATTGGTGACAACCACCTTGGAGTTTTGTTTTCCAATAAATCCTTGTATCTTATCCAAACATTAAACAGTGCTTTCCTGACAATGTGATTTTTAAATGCTTTATGTGCTTTGACCTTATCATACCACAGATATGCATGCCATCCAAATACATTGTTAAAACCTTCCAAGTCCAAAATGTCAGTGTTTTCAAGAAGCAGCCATTCTTTCAGCCAGCAAAAAGCTGCTGATTCATAATAAATTTTAAGGTCTGGCAGGGCAAATCCACCTCTTTCCTTTGCATCTGTTAGTATTTTAAATTTTATTCTGGGCTTCTTGCCCTGCCAGACAAATCTGGAAATATCTCTCTGCCACCTCTTGAAACAGTCCATTTTGTCCACAATTTGCAGTGTTTGAAACAAAAACAACATTCTAGGCAATACATTCATTTTTATCGCAGCAATACGGCCCAGCAGTGAAAGCTTCAAATTTGACCAAATTTCTAAATCTTTTTTCACTTCAGCCCAACATTTTTCATAGTTATCTTTAAATAAATTCCCATTTCTTGCTGTCATGTTAATCCCCAGGTATTTAACTTTCTTAACCACTGTTAAGCCTGTCACATTCTGAAACCTCTCTCTCTCCATTGGTGTTAGATTTTTCTCTAAAACCTTAGTTTTTAACTTGTTCAATTTAAATCCTGCAACCTGACCAAATTCTTGAATCAGTTCTCAAACCCTTTTGGTACTAGATTCTGGCTCCTGTAACGTCAGTACTAAGTCATCTGCAAATGCTCTCAATTTGTACTGTTTTGCTCCAACCTGGACAAGCGGGTTGCTAACTCGTTTGAGTCCTATCAATAATTATACCTTCCTGGTTGATAATCCCTTTCTGCCCCTCTTAAAGAAAACACACATGAATCTGAATCATATTAACATAAACTACTTTACTATCATGGGACGCGGGTGCCACTGTGGTCTAAACCACAGAGCCTAGGGCTTATCGATCAGAAGGTCGGCAGTTCAAATCCCCATGACGGGGTGAGCGCCCGTTGTTCGGTCCCAGCTCCTGCCTACCTAGCAGTTCGAAAGCACATCAAAGTGGAAGTAGATAAATAGGTACCGGTCTGGCGGGAAGGGAAACGGCATTTCCGTGTGCTGCTCTGGTTTCTCCAGAAGCGGCTTAGTCATGCTGGCCACATGACCCAGAAGCTGTATGCCGGCTCCCTCGGCCAGTAAAGCGAGATGAGCGCCGCAACCCCAGAGTCATCCGCGACTGAACCTAATGGTCAGGGGTCCCTTTACCTTTACTATCAGATTCATTCAGGTTTACATAGTTGTTCCTGAAGGCAGGCTTAGGCTTAGGTTACATAACAGATAACTATATACTAGGTAGTAGTGAATCATGAGAAGACTGCATCTGAGCAGTTACCAGTTAACATTCCTTGCAGCAACTGACCAACCAACCGACAAAACTGCCTGCCACATAGAGGCAGTTAGTCCTCTCAGAATGTTGGACTTGACTGACAGCTTTATATCCCACAAAGACCACCCCCAAAAACATCATACATACATCACAGAAGGGGGCGGTCTACAGCAGAAATACATCACAGGAGGTGGTCTACAGCAGAAATCCTGTCTGCCAGGATACCTGACATTAGTCACTGATTGCTTTACCTGGGCAGCCCGGCCATTCTTTAGCAGCTTGACCCAATCTAAACAGAGTCACAACGAAAAGACCGTCTGCAGTTTTCAGATCTGAGAGAGACAGAAGTGCTTTTCCAAGTTGTCATATGTCAAACGTTCTACGGTGTGACCATTAATTGCTTGGGGTTGCCCAGGTGACAAGCCCAGGATACAGCAGTAATAGTCAATAGAAAACAAAAATTGATATCAGTGAACATTCATTCCACAGGTCATGCTTCTGGGCTTACAATAAGAGCGTAAGGTGAGCCTGCTGGCAAAACTAACTGCGGTAATAAGATATCAAACACACCAGAAATTAAGGGCACAATGGTTACGGTTTGAGGAATATATGAACAAACACTGCTTTAAAGATAACATGCTGATATGTTTAGACTAAGCTTGTAAGGTGACTTGATGTTATACCATAATAGTACCATTAAAGAAGTAATTACAGCGATAAATGATATGCAATGTAAATAAGAACTTAAATGACTCAAAGATGATGAGTGCTGGTGGAGGGGAGTCAAATGGGTGTGGTACTTCAACCTTTTTTCTTTCTTACCCTTTCCCTTTACTCTCTTTGGTATTTGGGGTTAAGTGTGTGTACCTTATTGTTTGTTTGTTTGTAAATATGCTTAAATAAAACATTAAACCATAAAAAAGATGACCCTGCTGGATCAGGTCAGTGTCCCGTCTGGTCCAGTATCCTGTTGCATGGCGAGTTCCTGCCT